GAATCACCTCTGTACTGGGATACACAGCAAACCTTCTGGCAATGGCACGTATTAATGTGCCATCATGGAGGAGTTGAAAGGCCTGTGCAACCTCTGTAGGGTCCAGGTATCGCCTCATGCTACCAGTAGTGACACTGACCCTAGCCAAATGCAAAACTAGTGAAAAACAGTCCGAAAAGATGAGTAGGGAAAAAATGTCAGTGACCTCCACCTGTAAACCCATTCCTGTTTTGGATGTTACCCATCTAGAGCACCTGTTAATTTAATTAACACCAAAGCAGCTGAAACTGATTAACAACCCCCTCTGATACTTAATTTGCCAGATCAATAACCCAGGAGTTTAATTGACTTGATGCTATACTCTGATTAAAAAGTGTTCCTTTTAATTTTTTTGAGCAGTGTATATATTGCATATTGGGACAAAGACCTCTAATGTGTCTGCAAGGTCTCTTATGTCTACTTAAGACTTTTTGTTCGTTTTTTGCACAAATAGAACAAACTGCTTGTTTTTGCACTCCAGCATCATCCATAATAAAATCCTGTTCTGCCCGTACTGGGTATTCATCTCTAAGTGTCAGAATCCTTGCAGTGTACTGAAGAGACTAAATTTGATCGAATCCCATAGAAATTGTTTCTAACTTGTTTGATGCAGTATTTTCTACACTGCATTTGGAGGATCAACCTGCCTTTTCAGGCCTAGGGTCTTTTGGAACCCCTATGGCTGCAGAAATTTTCACTCGGTATTCCTGGACTGGAAGGAAGCTATAGAATTATGGGTCCCTTCTGTGAATGTGAAGGAGATTTTTCCCTTTTGAAAAGGAATTTATTGTTACGTGGCCTCTGCCCACTATAGACACTCCAGTCATACACCTAAACAAGCATATTACTAAACAGGTTATTTGTGTTCTTATATCTAGGGATTTCACTGATAGACAGTTGGACTCTCTAATTAGGTCTCAGTCTGAGTTAACTGGATTGACTTTCCAATCTCTGTTGGCAGTGACTTTGATTTGTGAAACCTTGTTACTGTGGATCAAATCCCTTAATTTCGGCTCCTCCATCACAGTGCACAAGGAAAATCTACACTCATCAGCCACTTTATTAGGTACACCTATTCAAATGCTTGGTAACACAAATTGCTAATCAGCTAATCACATGGCAGCAACTCAATGCATTCAATCATGTGTAGTGAAGACAACTTGAAGCTCAAACCGAGCATCAGAATGGTGAAGAAAGGGGATTTAAGTGACTTTAAATGTGGCATGATTGTCGATACCAGACAGGCTGGTCCGAGTATTTAAAATAACTGCAATCTACTGTGATTTTCATGCAGTCATCTCTAGGGTTTACAGAGAATGGTCCAAAAAAGAGAAAATATCCAGTGAGTGGCAGTTGTGTGGATGAAAATGCCTTGTTGATGTCAGAGGAGAATGGGCATTCGATTTTATCTGTGACAGTCAGACAGTAGGGTCAGAATTTGGTGTAAAACAACATGAAAGCATGGACCCATCCTGCCTTGTATCAATGGTTCAGGTTGGTGCTGGTGGTGGTGAAATGGTGTGGGGGATATATTCTTGGCACTAGCAAGGTGTACCTAATAAAGTGGACGGTGAGTGTATATGCACAAGGAACATCTGATTCGCCTGCCCTTTAAGGGAAACTGTATCTTCAGTCTTGCCCTTAACAGTGTAATTCCTGATGGCACCGTTGGCTGTAATGTGTGCTTGCCTCAATGCAGGTGATGTTGTGAATGGGTTGCAAGAACCCCAACTTTTATCTACCACAGAAGTACCTCGTTAACAAACCGAGTAAACCTCCCACTCACGCCACAGATAAAAAACACTATAAGCCCTCTGTCTCATTTAATTAGTCTGCATGAAGGTGTGCCCCCAGTTTGGCAAGTGGGGACCTGTTTTGTTCATTCTACTGCTTGTACTCTAGACCTTTTGAAATGGACACCTTCAGATGTCCCTAATCACTCATTGGGTAAATCTGCATTCCAGTTCCCCTGTGTGTTTTGGTTACCTATATCCTCAGATCTCTGATACCTACTTTGATAGGAGCCTATCCTATGGAAATGATTTCCTATTGATTTGCAGATAAGTCCTTTTCCATCATGGATGATTGCGCCCCTTGTGGTGCTTGATGTCCGCCAGCCCTATCCCTCTTTTGAGGGACCTCTTGACCTATACGATCAATAAGGATCAATCCCTATGGCTCCCTTCCATAGTAAGGAACTGGCTTTCCATGTGTTCCAGCAGATCTGTGCCTTGCTCTCTGTACTGAACCTTGTATTCCCTCTTGTACCTTTTCCTGGCATCCTCACCGTGAATCACTCAGGAGACTTTCCCAGAAGAGAGTCAGTTTTCTAGATATTCTCAGTCCGTGCAAGCCAAGGGTCCTACTGTCTGCAATCCTTAACTAGATATATAGCTATCTTTTGAAGATCTCCACTTTGTACATGTGAACACCCCTTCTTTTTTCTTTTTTCCTTGTAGCAAGGAAGTATCCTTTGTTGTAAGGTCCTGTAGTTTATTGGACAGTCAGGAAATGGGACCCACTGTTAACCTGCTGCAATTTCCCCTAAATGGGAAAGTGTAAGTCCTTGTGCCTTTGTAGGACATGATTACTGTAGGATTATTGACTTGTGGTTTTCTGAGGAACTATCCTTCTGGTGAATTTTCCTACTGCTAGTACTAGGTTTTCTACCTCTCACATCTTGGTGGTGGATTCTGTTCTTTACAGGGGTAGGTTGGGTGATTCATAGAATTTTAATTCTGGTTCGGCAGGTTGCAGTGTGGCTACCACAGCCCTGAAACACTCATGGGTGTTGGTTGGAAGGACGACATCTTATCCTTCTTGTCTGCTAACTGCCACAGCTGCTTGCGTGCTAAATTGAACTGTCAATCAAATTTCTGGTGTCATAACTGATCACATGTGCAGCACCATGGCAAATGTAGATCAAACAGAGGCCAAGATTGCAGCTTGCCTGCTGTAAAGGATAGGAAGGTTAAATACTGCTTTAAGGGATAACTTTTCTATCAGGTAACATCCATTGTTATGTATCTCCTGCTCCCTGAAGTTAAGGGTTAGGAATGTTCAATGGCTGTTGACTGGTCGGTCCTTTCCCTGGACATGGTTTTTCTGTCCAAGCTTCCTTTCCCTGAAGTAAAGGGTTGAGCTGTTTTTTTTTTTTTTTTACTATTCGACATGATATGGGACTTGGCCCAGAAAACATTTCTTTCCATTGGTTGTGGTCATTTCTATATTGGTTGGCTCTTCTCCATCTATTCTTTGTTCAGGTGTTCATTACTTCAGGTACTTTTGTAGTATGATCTCCATATCTGTTGGAATGATTAGTGGTTGGGTTTTTTTACCCCTCTGCTGGGCTGAGCGCTGAGAGGCACAGGAACTGTAAAAATTCATAAAGGACAATAAAGAAAATAAGATTTTTGTACTTCATGTAAAATCTTATTGTTATTGGCTCTTGTTCTGCTTGGTCACAAAATGTAACCATGACTGCTGAAGGTGGAGTTTTACATGAGCTGGCTTAGCGTTTCTTCTCAACCTCCTGCAATGTGGCAGTACAATCTGACTACCGGTATTTAAAAATTTCTACAATTCCTGTGTCCCTTATTGGACTTTAGGAAAAATAATTTATAGTAAGTGCTTACATTGTATTAGAAATGCTAAGGTTTTTCTTTTTTTTGCTCACTGGTCATTTTGGATTGTTAATTCTAACATGCAGGACTATTCAGCAGTCTCTACTGTTAAATATTCATTGATGTTTATTGTATATCCTACTGTGAAATGCTACAAAATATGATGGCCCTATTATGTATAAAGATAATATGAATGGGGATTTGGGCTTTGCTCTTGGCTTGTTTGTAGTCTTATCATGCAAACAGAGTCCAGCCTGTCCAGTCTCCTGGCATTGTAATCACTAAAAGATCTGTTTTGTAACTTTCATAAAGATGCAGTAATGCTGTTGTACAGTTCGATATTTGACTATTAAAGCAGACCTAAACCCTGACATGGTCTTGCTTATATGCAACACATTGTGCTAAATTGTAGGATGCAGAAAAAAAGGTGTTTACATATGCCTAACACTCACAATTGGTCCAGATACCAGTGGTCATAAACCAGGCAGTGTTCTTAGACAGAGCCTCTGTTTGCCTGGTTAGGCCAGGCATGTCAAACTAATGTCTTTTAGACTAGATGTGGCCCTCTCACTATTTTCTGGGCCCTCTTAGTGCTTTGTTTGTTTTGACTTAATTTACACTGAATAAGGTCCTAGTTCTCCAGATTATAAAGGTTATGCTTTATCAGTATAACTTTTTATAATTTTGTTGGTGAATTTTGGAAGGGTTTACAACCACTATAACGTGTACTGCCAACCCATTCGGAAGGAATGAGCTGCTTTAGGTTGTTTTTCTTAATGCATCAGTGTGCAGGGGAGGCTTAATACACTCCTAAAAACCTAGCACATTTGGGGAGATGTAAACAAGCATAGTTTGTAGCTGGGATTAGGTATCTGTTAAAGCTGAAGTTTAGGTATGGCAATGTTTGCATATTTACATTGTTCTGGTTTGGACTAATGTAAGTAGTATGTGCTGTACATGTGGGATCCCTGTGGAAGCTGGAAATCTGTGCTCTCCACTAGCTTATGGGTCCCATGCTGAGCATCTGCTCTGCTGCTTACTGAAGAGGTCACTCATTTGGCATAGGCATCATTCGGGGAACTCTTTGCATTTTCTCAATGAGTGCAAAATTTTTAAGATCGGAGGTACAGAGACAAGGTGGTAATGCCATGATCTCCACTTTTTCCAATCAGAGAACACTTTGTATTCATTCGGAAAATGTAAAAAAACTGCCATACTTAAACTTTATAAATGTTATATTTATATGTTTAATAAAGTAGTAGATAAAATAATATTGTCCATTTTTAACTGATGATTTGGTTTTGTTGTTGCTGTTAGGTGTATGTGGCTTTTCAGTCGATGCTGATTGTCATTGTGGGCGCTGTACCAGAATATCAGATTGATACGGAAGAAGGCCTCAGCGATGAAGAATTTATCAAGCATATCCGATATGCAAACAACTTCACTTCCATAGTATCTGAGGCAAGTATAATTCTGAGCACTTGAAGGGAGCGTGGCAGATAAGAAATGTAATTTCTAAATTGATAATTTCTTAGCCTTATCGTTTTTTAAACGGTAGTACTGTATAAGCCTGTATTGTGTCTGTGTTCCTTTGTTCAACCTAGATCATTTAAAAAGGAAGACTCCACATTTAACCCTGTTTTATATAATCTATCCTACACTTGCCATAGCCACATCTTAATGTCTAGTTATTTGTATCTTCCCAAATGTAATAAAAACCAATGTGTTTAGTACAGTGGTTCTCAACCTTCCTAATGCCACAACCCTTTAATACAGTTCCTCATGTTGTGGTGACCCCCCAACCATAAAATTATTTTCGTTGCTACTTCATAACTGTAATTTTTCAGTGGGAGGAGTAGTGCCATATCACTGATGTCAGTGGGAGGAATAGTGCCCCATCGTTGGTGTCAGTGTGGTAGAAATAGTGCCCCATCATTGGTGTCAGTGTGGTAGGAATAGTTCCCCATCATTGGTGTCAGTGTGGGAGGAATAGTGCCCCATCATTTGTGTCCGTGTGGGAGGAATAGAGCCCCATCATTGGTGTCAGCGTGGGAGGAATAGTGTCCCATCATTGGTGTCAGTGTGGGAGGAATAGTGCCCCATCATTGGTGTCAGTATGGGAGGGGGGGGATAGTGCCCCATCATTGGTGTCTGGGGGGGGGGATAGTGCCCCATCGTTGGTGTCGGGGGGGAGGAATAGTGCCCCATCGTTGGTGTCAGTGGGGGGGAGGAATAGTGCCCCATCGTTGGTGTCAGTGGGGGGGAGGAATAGTGCCCCATCGTTGGTGTCAGTGTGGTAGAAATAGTGCCCCATCATTGGTGTCAGTGTGGTAGGAATAGTTCCCCATCATTGGTGTCAGTGTGGGAGGAATAGTGCCCCATCATTTGTGTCCGTGTGGGAGGAATAGAGCCCCATCATTGGTGTCAGCGTGGGAGGAATAGTGTCCCATCATTGGTGTCAGTGTGGGAGGAATAGTGCCCCATCATTGGTGTCAGTATGGGAGGGGGGGGATAGTGCCCCATCATTGGTGTCTGGGGGGGGGGATAGTGCCCCATCGTTGGTGTCGGGGGGGAGGAATAGTGCCCCATCGTTGGTGTCAGTGGGGGGGAGGAATAGTGCCCCATCGTTGGTGTCAGTGGGGGGGAGGAATAGTGCCCCATCGTTGGTGTCAGTGGGGGGGAGGAATAGTGCCCCATCGTTGGTGTCGGTGGGGGGAGGAATTGTGCCCCATCGTTGGTGTCAGTGAGGGGAGGAATAGTGCCCCATTGTAGGTGTCAGTGGGGGGAGGAATAGTGCCCCATCATTGGTATTAGTGACACCAATGATGGGGCACCATTCCTCCCACTGACACCAATAATACTTACCTTGCTGACCCCTGCTCCAGCTTGGGCTCGCTCCCTCCCTCCCTCTCCCATCTACAGCCAGCATTCCTGCTGCAGCAGCACCATCTGCACGGTACAGACACTTACCGGTCAGCTGTCTTCCTTCTCCTGCCGCTCTCCTCTTCACTCGCTCTAGCTGCTCCCTCATTCGATCTTCTTTGATATTCGCGCTGCTGCTCAGCTCCTCCTCTCCAAGCTCCACCTCCTCGCCGGTGATTGGCTGCCTGTGTGCCTCACCTGAGCTACAGTTCCGGCGGCCAATCACCAGCGAGGAGGCAGAGCTGTTGAGCGATACCAGGTGTGTGGCCAGATGACAGGGGCGGCATGTCATCCCGCCCACACATCGCGGTTCATGGAAATGTGGGCGTATCTGCATGTGGGCGGACCTGCCTGGAGACGGATAGAGGAGCGGTGTCTCGGTTCCTAAGACCATCGGAAATATGTGTTTTCCAATGGTCTTAGGCGACCCCTGTGAAAGGGCCGTTCGACCCCCAAAGTGGTCGCGACCCACAGGTTGAGAACTGCTGATTTTAGTACAACATATGCTGTGCATCCTATGTATCACTTTAAATGCTTACACACACACTGTGTATATATAACATTCAAAATGCACCAGTCTATTAAGATTTCCCAATCCATCATAACAGTATACACATATATCTTCCTCCATATATCCAACATATGCAGCACTCCCTATGTAAGTGATACATAGGAAGCGCTGCATATGTTGTACTAAACATCTCTCTGGTCAGTCGGGAATGCATTATAATGTGAGGAGCACCCTAGACACACGTTAGCATAGTGTTTGATTCACTGTATATTTGGCACAATTTTTGTTTCTATGAGACATTAGGGAGGCTTATGAGTCCTTTGTAGAAAATACAGTAGGTAGCGCAGAAGTCTCACTAAGACGATAAAAGATCAATAAGTGAAGCAGTTCCTCCACAAAAAGTTTTCACATAGATCACTTAAAGTGTAACTAAAGGCACAATTTAAAAAATTTTTTTTTATAGAGTGTAGAGGGATTAGAACGCTTTTCAGTTTTTATCGTCTGTGCCCCCATTAGGGAGATTCACCATTTCTATGTGTTCTGTTTACCATTATCATTGAAACTGAAGGTAAAAGAAAATTCTACATTTTGGGTTGTCCTCAGGAGGGTAATAGAGGGAAAATCTTCCAATGGGGTCCCCAAGAAATTCCCTTAATTTGTAGGGATTTTCTCTCACTTCCTGTTAGGCTATGGAACAGGAAGCACAGGGAAATCTCTGCAATGGGACACAGATGGCGAAAAAAAAAAAAAAGAAAAACCAGATAGGGGTTTTAACCCTCCCTTGCTCTATCCAAAATGAAAAATGTACTTATAGTTCTACTTTTAAGGGTTCTATTTATAAATGTTTTCACACAGGATTTGTACAGTTTTCTCTTAAAGTGGAGTTCCAATTGAAAAAAAAAAAATAAAAATAAAAGTCAGCAGCTACAAAAACTGACTTTTAAATACAGCCACTTACCTGTCCCTCGGTCCTGCGGTGTCCTCACCACTGCTGGTTTTACCGGCCGTCTTCACTCCCTGGCTCCGGCATCTTCAGTGTGGGCACCCGGCTATGATCACTTGCAGCTTCACAGCCGGGAGCCCACTGCGCATGTGTGAGAAGCGCTGTGCTTTGTGAATGGACCCCTAGTCTTCTGGGACCTGTCAAGTGTCCTAGAAGACTACGGGGCGGGAGGGGGGAGGACAACTTCCGCTTCCACTTGCCTTAGGCGATGGCAGCTGAAATGGGAGCGGGTGCCTGTCAAATCAGGTACCAGCTCCCCAAAGGTGCCAATCCTTAATGGGGAGGGGGGACAAAGCCTTAAAGTGGAACTTCCCCTTTTGGGTGGAGCTCCACTTTAAGTTTCGCACATTTATCCAATTAAATCCATTTGGAAAAATGTATGAATCGTGTGAAAGTTATAGGAATCCTGTGCAAAAGCATTTTTAAAACGGCTTTTTCTTGATGTGACTATTAGACAAGAAGTAATACTATATGTTTAGTTTACAAATATTGGGAAAATGCTATCATGCTTTTAGTCAGTTCAAAATTATATTTTACATCAAACACAAATGTTTAACATTTTAGGAGAAAATATGTATGCAATGTGTGTAGTTATTAAGCAACTGAATTACAATTCTTTTTTTTTTTTTTTTTGCTCACTCACTTGTTTATTCTCATGTTTTACGAGGCATACAGTGTTTATAAAGCAGTTAATCTGACATTTGCTGCAGGTGAATATAAATGTTTCTTTTCATTATTAATTCAACACCATTGAATGTTTGGTGAAAGTCATATTCACTATATATACACATGGCCATATACCACCTTTCCCTTTCAGTGCCTTCAGCCTCCCATCCTCAGAGTCTGTATCTTTTTTTTCTTTTCTTCAACTTTTGCTTAATCAGCTAACACTGCCTCCCAAATGCTGTTCAAAGAGGTGTATTGCCTTCCCTTTCTATACTTACTGTTGGGAAGGGCCCACAAGATCTTAATAGGAATTGTCAGGTGAGAAATGGGACCAGATCATTAATCCATTATCTTTGAGGCCTTTGCTAGCTAGACAAGCAGTTGCATACTTGTATGCATGTAATGGAGCACTGATCTGCATAAAGATCATGGCCTTCTTGAATGCTGCTTATTTGTATGTGTACTGCTGCTTTAAGAAAGAACCATTCAAAAACCGGCAGCAAATGTTTTAGTTGATTTTGAAACCACCTTTAACCTGAAAAGGTCCAACTAGTTCATCCTTCGTAATGGCAGCCCTTACTATTACAACCCCCACCTAGCTAGTGTCAGACTTCAAATGGTGACCCGTGTCTATTGGTGAACATACAACAGGGCCATCAAGAGTCTTTCTGATTTCAGCTGTCCATAAAATCTTTGAAAATATGTAGTCCTCAGACAGAGATATGGTGCTTTACTTTGTGAATATTATTCAGTGGCAGTTGTGTTTCAGCTTTCTTTACGATAGCAATGTGCACTTTATACCCTGTACTTTTGGATACTCCAGGTAGGTTTCAGTTCTTGAGTATGATGGCACTGGAGGCTAATGGGTTCCTGTTAATTTTATATGGATTATTTCTTAAGTCTTTTTTTTCAAAATTTTCAGTCTTTTTTTTTTTTGCTAATTTAGCAAAAAATAAAAACCCCAGTGGTTATCAAATACCACCAAAAGAAATCTCTAGTTGTGTGAACAAAATGATAATATTTTAGTTTGGGTACAGTGTTGCATGACTGCGCAATTGTCATTCAAAGTGTGAGAGTGCTGAAACCTGAAAATTTTCCTGGGCATGAAGGGGGTAAAAGTGCCCGGTATTGAAGTGGTTAATAATAATAATAAAAAAAAAAAAGTTGTACAAATTTTTCCATTTTCCTTAAAAAGTTCAAGATAGTCAATCTGTTTGTCATGCCATGTTCAAGTAAAAGTAAAACCATATTTATTGTAGTTTATTGCCTCAGAAACTTAGACAAACCTTCTGCCGCCCCCATACGATGACAATGTTATCGTTTATAGCGCTTGTACAATTTCAGTTCAGTCCGCTTTCT